TAATAATTTTCCGATGCGTTTTTCTCAACGAAGGAACTTTTTTTTGAAACTTTATTTATTTTTATGTGAATCTACATGCTTTTCTGCATATTTTGATTCAATAAAAAATAACATTGTCGCACTGGTTCAAATTTTGCTCAATTGGAAATCTTGGGAATCTGGGCGTCACTTTGGACTGTTTTCTGGGCCCAGAAATCCCGGATTTGGGAACTTTGGACGCGCCATTAGGATAACAGACTGTCAAAGATACTGCCCGTGAAATAGCTCGGGACTCTTCCTCTAGTATCATCGAAATATCACCATTCATACTGAGAATAGGCCATTTCGATGTTAGTTTATGTTCCAGATTATAGTTCCTTTCTCCTAATCTTCTGAACTAAAACTTATTAGTGGTCCGAACTTATTAGTGGTTCTATGCCTATCACTTTGCACCTTTTTCGCCAAAGTTCGTTGCTCTAGAGGCCCAGGAGAAACATGAACAAAACACACCTCTGGGTATGTAATGTTCATCGAGTTAGTTCTCGCCCATTACACTGTTCAGGGGAAATTTTGCATAGTGCGTTAAACACACAATGTGTGACATCTATAATTATGAAAAAATATTAAGAAAAAATCAAAATTCGGAAGAGCAACATAGAGCGAAGTAAAAGTGTCAAAGACTTTTTGGACAACCTAGTATCTTATTTTCTGTAAGAGATATAAAAAATCTGCAAACTACAAGAGAGTTGGGAATGTTATGACAGTCATTGACATATTTCTGACTTACCGTAAACACACCAATAGAATGTCCTTCAAATCGAGCTTCATTTTTTCGATTTCTGTGAACAATATCACTAATTTGTGAACTGATGAAATATTGGTGAAATCATAATAAATAACTTATAAGTTGACAAAATTTGTAAAACTTCCACGGAAATTGAGATAATTGAGCTTAAAGTTGACGGTTTGGGTGGCAAACATTTGTTCACTTGACAAATTGGCTCTAGCTGGTTATTTTGGAATTTAAAGAAAGTTTTAGGTTTTAGTGGAGGTTATAAAATTAAGGATTTTAGAAAAACTTTTGAATTGTAATGTTTTTCAAGATCTTTAGAATACAATTTTTTTAATCAAATATTTTTTAAATCCAAAAATTCCTTCAAAATCCAAAATACCAACTAAGGATAACCGATTTTTGATATTTCTTACAGAAACTAAGATAATTGAGCTCCAAGGGCAAATTTAGGGCGTCGTTACGGTATGCTTACGGTATTTGATAAAATGGCATGGATAAATGTGTAAATAACAAATTAGTATACTGTAGGCTAAACTCAGTTTTCATTAAAAAGAAAAAGAAAAGGAAAAAAGTTGCTTCATAACGGTGAATGAAAAAGGTTACTAGAAAACAACTCGATTGTTTACAGGTTTCTCATCGCTAAGTTTTCTTTTTAAATTGACATTATAATGAGTTTTCAATCGCTCATCCCTCTTAGATGATGTTTAAAATAATCTGAAAAATGGAAAACAAAGACTTACGCCATTGATCCACGTCCCAAAGTCTTTAGTACTTCGAACATCTTCATTGCCGTCTTCTTCGAAATCCGTTCGGCAGTTTGGTGATACTCCAGCTCAGAATTCTCGATATCCATCATCTCCACATCACTCTCCACAAACTCATTCTGTGGCATTGCTTCCCGTTTCTGAAAACAAAACGGTAACGACGAAAATTTGAGAAATTGGGGAGCATTGGTTTGATTTTCAAATTAAAAGAAAAAAGAAATTCAAAAAAAAAAGTTGAAAGAAGGAAAAACCCATAAAATGAAAGTGAATGGGATGCCAAGTCATAGTCAAATGGGAGGAGCCATCTTCTAAAAATGCACTTTTAACAGAAAAAGTGCGAATGTTACGAAATGAGAGGCAGAAGAATGTTAAAAAACGAAAAAAGGTCAGAAATGAAGGGAAAAGAAGAATTGGAGGTAGTGTTTCTAATATATACAAATTTTTTTCGAACATAACCAATCAGTTCCTAGCAATCGTATATTTCAGGTTGCGTGTATATAGAAAACTGACTAAAATATATACATTGTCGCCTCGCTTTCCCAAAAAAAAAGACCACACTTCATTTTCATCGGCCGGAAAAAGAATGGGAATGAAAAAAGAGGATATGGCAAATGTATTTAAAAAGTGCACTTTTTCTATGAAATGGAGAAAAGTCAGAAAGTGAAAAAAATCTACGAGTAATAGCCAGAATACTATGAATTTAACAAGATTTTATGAGCTCATACTAATCAATTACTGTTCTAACTGGCTCGTACATAAAATAAACATAGTAATATAACTGAAAGAACTCCCAGAAACACTAACTGCTAAAAGACACTATTGAAAACATTGAGACGCAGAGAGAGTGAGAGACACACACAAACGCTATGCACTCACAGAACCTCTATGCACTCAAAGAGACCTTTGTAACCTGAAAAACTAGAAGACACTAAAACACAGAATTCCTATAAAACACTATTTATTGAATTTACTCAATAAACCACTATAAAACCTTTAAAACTAGTGAGCCACACTTTAACGGGTCGTCACCAATCGTGAGCGAACACCAGCGAAAACTAAAGAAAACGATAAGAATTTGTCGAGAGAGGAGACGCGTTTTGGCGCGCACACAGTTTCGCGCGCGGATACAGTAATCCACACCTCTTGCACGTGTGTTCGGGGGGAGATTTCTCTCCTTTAGACTTGGAAAGAGAATTTTAAAAAAGAAAACACGGTAGAATACCGTACAACATCATTATATATATTTTTTTATTCTTCAGAATAAAAAATGGGATATACATTATAGCTTTTTACACGTTGATGCTTCTCTCAGAAACAACTCTCCACAAGAACAAAATAGTAGAAATGATCAGGCTATTCGAATTTGCATAGGCAAAACCGAAAATTGACTTTTGCATATCAATAAAATCTGGGGAAAGAGCGAGGGTGTTTTAAGTGAAAACAGTATGGGAACATGGTTCTGTTGAGAGGGAAAAGAGAAACAGAGGAAAAAAGAGGGCATTTCTACCACATTTTATTAGTCATCACCAAAAAAAACAATTGATCAATATCTTGTGATCTGTTAAGCATAATCAGATGAAGGGTATGGGACAAAAGGAGGATGAAAGAGTTGGAGAGTAAATAAAGTAAGATTGCTGTATGATAATGTGCAAACTGATTATTAGAGGTGATAAAGAACATCTCAGCTAGATTATTGTTAGTGAATTGCGGCCCAAATGTTTGGTAATATGAAAGTTATTGAACAGATCCAGATTCCTTGATTAATTTTGTGGGCATCTTCCATACTTGCAGTTTCACCTTCTTAAAACATCACGCTGAGTCTGAAAATAAGATATAATAGGGAGGATTTCAATAGAATTTTCTGACCATGACGGCTCGCACAACTTCCGGAATAGTCTCGGCTGGTGGTGGTGTTGTCAAGAACCACGAATTGGTTTGGGCACGACACGCCTTGACTCGTTTTCTCGGACAAAGCTGCAGCATCTTCTTGATCAGCCGAGCTCCGTTTACTTTTTCGGTATCCGGAAGCTGAAATAATCAAACTTTAGGATATAAATCAAAATATAAAGTTACCTGGTCCAATTTATTTTGAATTGATCCTCTTTCTGAATATGTGACTTCTCTTGAATAACGTTGTAAGAGAGGAAACTGTCCCCATCTCACCCACTTCTACAAAATTGTGTAAAATTATATTTTATGTATACTTTTCTTAACTCACAGAAAGTGGTTGTCCCCCGAAAACTCTTCCGATGCTGTTCAATTGGCCTCTTGTGGTACCCCCTGGTATTACTTCTTCTCCAAGAATTATTTCAGCTACAACGATCCCAGCCGACCAAATATCAATCTCCGCTCCATAATTTTCAGAGCCCAGGAGAAGTTCAGGTGCCACGTATCCTGGAGTACCAACTGTTGGGCTCAGTTTCTGGGGAGCTGAAAATATTCTTGATGAAATCTTTAATACTTTTGAGTTATTTACTTTCAAACACATAATAGGTCGCGGTGCCAAAATCAGCGATTTTCAAACGGCCAGTTTCCGATATCAAAATGTTGTGTGGCTTCAGATCCCGGTGGACTATATTTTTCGAATGGGTATATTCCAATCCGGCAAGCAATGAACGGGTTAATGTCCGTTTGTTGCCAATGGTAAGGGGGGCGCCGGCAATATGAAGAAGGTGATTCAAATCAAAAGAACACAACTGGAATACAAGATGAAAAATAGTGTGGCCTTCCTCATCTGAAATATTTCAAAATTAGATAATATTCTCTTATTTATTAATTCACTTTTTGTCGAGAAGCATTCAATGAATGAAATGACATTTTTATGTTCCATGTGATGTACCATGAGAACTTCCTTGAGAATAGAACGCGGAATTCTATCATCTTTACTTCTTCTAATCGACGTCTTCATCGCGTAATTTTGATTCGAGGTTGTTGACTGAACTAGGAAGACCTTGCTGAAAATAATTTACTAGTCTAGAATACTCTTCATTCAACTTGCCTGAACGTTCCTTCGGAGATTTTCTGACGCACAGTAAAATGATTTTTTGAATCCAAATCTTGCACCAATGTAGCAATATTTTTGTACCGTGGGTGCCTCTCGATTTGGTATTGATTGTAATACGAGTCTTGGAAATGCTCACTGAAATAGGTGTACATGAATATGTGACAAGGGAATCTCAACATCTTGTGAATATTTAATGTAGAACAGCGCTTTTCAAAAACGGTTTCCTCAACTTCTAGGAAATTCCAGAAAATGAAACCTCTTGCGTTCTCGGCTGTCGGCTTGCAACTTCTGGACGGAAGTTGAGGGGGGTTCGGCTTTTGGACGGATTTTGGTCAGATTTTGGTCAGAAGCTGCACACTGACCGCAGTGGGACGGACAATGGTCAGATTTTGGCCGGAATTTGAAGGCGCTGCGTGTTAAGAGGTCGAAAGCTGGTCGGTAATTTGTCAGATCTTGGTCGGCTTCCCACAATGTCTTTGCCGGAATCTGACCAAGCTCCGGCCAGAAGTAACCGGCGACGCCTGAGTTATATTAGGGTATTCCATAAATTATGTCGTTTTTTGGTACCACTCTTCAAACGATGATAACTTTAGTGAAACTCATGTTCATCAAACAAACTATGTACCATTCGAATCAGTACTTTTTTGCCAACATTATACTAATTTGATAATTCCATCATGATAGAAAACAGAAGCCCAGGAAGAGACGAAGCATTGGAAAGTTTTTTTGCATAGTCCTTTTTAATGGACTGGTTCTCTTGTGACATGAGTTGTCGTCGAGTAGGACTGTGCCAATTTTTTGACCAGTGTTGGCAATTTGGATAACAAATTTTCTCTATTTCTTGGCAATTGTAAACCACAGTGTTAGTTTTTCATCTTGCCAGGGCGTCGTAATGAATAAAACCGAAAGCCAGACACCAAACAGTCACCATAACCTCTTTTTGGTAAATTTCTGGCTTTGTAAGATGTTGCACCTTCTGTTGCACCTGGCTTTCGACCAGATATGGCGCTGATCGCATTTTATTGTAGTATAGAGTCCATTTTCCCTTTTACGCCACAAATTGATCCAAAATATGATCATTTTTCTATCGTATGAGATGATCTCATAAACTAGAGTAACGTTGCAGTTTCTTGCAATCTTTCACTTCATGAGAGAGCCGTTTATCTAGTTTTCTAGTCTTTTCTTTTTCTTATTAACGTCTCAATATTGTTCCGGTAGAGACTCCAAGCGTTGCAAAAAGTTCCCTGACGGTCGATTTCGGATTCCGCCATATTTCAGTATTGATTCCACCACCTTTTTCTCTTCGAGGGATTCATCTCCACATTTGAATTTTGTGAACCATCGTTGTACTGATTTTCTGTTAGCACTTCTTTCTGCGGAAGCACGGTTAATATTTTCGGTTGTCTCGGTTGCATTTCGGTCGAGCATGGATTCGAAAAAAAATTGAAGCGAAAAAGTACATCTTTTCCATAAGTTCTCCTCAAATAACTGAGAGCATTATGACACATGTTAGATAGGGATTTTTGACGACTTGATTAGGTGTGCGAGAAACAAAAAATAAATTGGCATTAGAACGAGCCATGACAGAGAAAACTGCCCTCGAAAAAAACGACATTATTTATGGAACACCCTAATACTTAGGCATTGGATGAAAGTTCATATTTTAGACATATTCTCAAAATTTTTTAACCAATTTAGGAATAATTTTTAAACCAAAATAGAAAAAAGTGGAAACATCCGAAAATAATTTTTTCTTGTTTTGCGAAAATGTCTGAAATATAAAATCTCATCCAATTCTTAGTAAAATACAATAGATTTCATGTTCTGAAACGTCCTGAAAGTTGAAAAAATCGTCTCTAAAAACTAAAATTTCCAGAGGCGTCTAGATAGACTTTCTAAAACAAATTCCGAAAATTTCATCAAAATCTGATTTCACAAGGTTTTGAGGTTCTCTTCTGAATTTGAATATCTAATGTAAGCAAAAAAAATTCTTACTCCTCATCATCTCTACTGTTTGGCGGAACTCTTGGGAACCAACGAGCATCCATGGCTTGGAAATCTAGAACTCTGAAAAAAAAATCATTTGAAACAAACGAAAGGTGACCGCAGGATGCAATCAAAAGGCAGAAAAGATGCAAAACCCCAATAAAACGGTTTTTACTGTTCGCAAAACGATTTTCACTATTGAATAATAAAGTTAGAAACATCGAGAAGCGAGGGAGGAATAGAAAAAAAAATATGGGAATTCTATGACGTGTCGTTAGCTGGTGAATTTCGGAAAAGCAAACGAAAAACAAGCCGTGATATGGAATAGAAGTATTGTTTCCGAAAGAATGGAGGAAACTAAGGAAAAGCAGGAAAAGAAATCTCGAGCTTATGAAGAGATAGAAGAAATTGTCAACTTGATAATTATGGGTTTCGTATTTTATGAAAAATTGAGATGCAGGTTTTGTTCATTTCATCCGAAAATGTATGATTCATTGAGTCTATGACTGATAAAAGATACGAAAGGAGACATTGAATTGTGAAAGAAAAACATGTGAGTATTCCTATGGGACATCTGAAGTAATTGCCTTTTTGATAAACTAAGAAATATTTAAAGGCACACCACACAATAAAATAGTCTCCACCGAGGGCTGAATTCGATATTCCAAAGCATCCAATTTTTTGTGACCAATCTGTTCAGATAAAAAAAAAATCAAGTCAATTTGTCCAGACTGCTATTAGCCCTACCGGACGGGTTCGAAAGTCTGGATTTCTCCAGTTGCGACGTGTCCCGTGCCGAAGACACTTTGAGTAATACCAATAAGAACTCAATAGTTGCATCTGCTTCGGTCGTCAACTCTATCATAGTAGAGTTTACCAGTCGGTTTGAGCCCCCTGCCGGGGGCTCAACCTCCTGGGTTTTGTTTGATTTATCTTACATTTGAATTCCTAATTTCAGAAATTCCCACTTTCCGTGTGTCCGAAATTTCCGAGTTTCTTCATTTTCAAAAGTTATATTTTCCCGATATCGGAATTTTTGAATACCGTACTTTCTCGAATAGATGCCCACATGTAGCATCTCTTGTTTTTTCTAGAATGTTCCTGGATTTTCTGATTACAGATTGTTAGGGTTTCTGAAATTCAGATATTAAAAAAACCCACACACAGCCCTACTTCTAAGCCTTTGGTTTCAGATCACCTTGAAAAAATAGGGAAGTGATTACAATACTTATAGAGAATACTTATAGAGAACGCTTCACCTTTTTTTCAGACAAAACGTTTGGAGGGTACAACAATTCAGGGGTACAAAGGGGTACAAAATGATTTAGGGGTACAAAACTCACAGTTTGAGAGTACAAAACTGACCCTTTTTCAGTATTTTGTACCCCCGAATTGCGGATTTTTTACCCCTTAAATTGCTTTGTACTCCCTTGTACCCTCCGAATTGTTTGCCTTTTTTTTCAACCTCAACATGGGTTTACGTTGAGCATTCAAAAAACGGAATATCATGAAAATTTCTAAAATGCTCTAGAATTTTCTGGAATTTTCTTGCACTTTCTGGAACTTTCTGGAATTTTCTGGAATTTTCTAAAATATTCTGGAACTTTCTGGGAGTTTCTGGAATTATCTAGAATGTTCTGAAATTTTTTGGAACTTTCTGGAATTTTCTGGAATTTTATGGAATGTTCTGGAATTTTCTGGAATTTTCTAGAATGTTCTGGATTTTTCTGGAACTTTCTGGAATTTTCTGGAATTTTCTAGAATGTTCTGGGACTTTCTGGACTTTTCTGGAATTTACTGGAATTTTCTAGAATGTTCTGGAATTTTCTGGAACTTTCTGGAATTTTCTGGAATTTTATAGAATGTTCTGGAATTTTCTGGAATTTTCTAGAATGTTCTGGATTTTTCTGGAACTTTCTGGAATTTTCTGGAATTTTCTAGAATGTTCTGGGACTTTCTGGAATTTTCTGGAATTTACTGGAATTTTCTAGAATGTTCTGGAACTTTCTGGAACTTTCTGGAATTTTCTGGAATTTTCTAGAATGTTCTGGGACTTTCTGGACTTTTCTGGAATTTACTGGAATTTTCTAGAATGTTCTGGAATTTTCTGGAACTTTCTGGAATTTTCTGGAATTTTATAGAATGTTCTGGAATTTTCTGGAATTTTCTAGAATGTTCTGGATTTTTCTGGAACTTTCTGGAATTTTCTGGAATTTTCTAGAATGTTCTGGGACTTTCTGGAATTTTCTGGAATTTACTGGAATTTTCTAGAATGTTCTGGAACTTTCTGGAATTTTCTGGAATTTTCTAGAATGTTCTGGAACTTCCTAAGATTTTCTGGAATTTTCTAAGATGTTCTGAAATTTTCTGGAATTTTCTGGAATTTTATAGAATGTTCTGGAATTTTCTGGAATTTTCTAGAATGTTCTGGAATTTTCTGGAATTTTCTGGAATTTTCTGGAATTTTCTAGAATTATCTGGATCTTTCTGGAAGTTTTTGGAATTTTCTAGAATGTTCTGAAATTTTCTGGAATTTTATAGAATGTTCTGGAATTTTCTGGAATTTTCTAGAATGTTCTGGAATTTTCTGGAATTTTCTAGAATGTTCTGGATTTTTCTGGAACTTTCTGGAATTTTCTGGAATTTTCTAGAATGTTCTGGGACTTTCTGGAATTTTCTGGATCTTTCTGGAAGTTTTTGGAATTTTCTAGAATGTTCTGAAATTTTCTGGAATTTTCTAGAATGTTCTGGAACTTCCTAAGATTTTCTGGAATTTTCTAAGATGTTCTGAATT